TTGACAGAAGTGTCAAACATATTCACTGGAAGAAATTTAACCTCTTTAAGGGTGCTGGAAAAACTGACTATGCATATGTTGAAGATAAAAACTGGACCCATATCTTTCACCATGAACTAAATTTGAAATGGATCAGATCTAAACAGAAACATTAAATATGTTGGAAGACAAAATAGGTCAAACGCTTGAAGACACTGATATAAGCAAAGACTTTATGAATCAAATCCTGATGAATCAGGAAGCACTATGAAGAATCAACAACTGGGATCTCATTTTATTAAAAAGCTTTTGCACAGCAAGAGAAACTACCAACAGAGAGAAGAGACAACCTACAAGTTGGGAAAAAATATCTGCCAGCTGTTCCTCAGAGAAAAGGACTACTATCAAGAACATATAAAGAACCAAAAAAAAAAAAATCAGATTCCCAAATTCAAAGACCCCATCCAAAAATGGGCATCTGAGATGAATACATGCTTCTCAGAGGAAGAAATACAAAAAGCAAATAAATATATGAAAATGTTCAACATCATCAGTCATTCCAGGGATGCACATTAAAACGACACTGAGATTCTATCTCAGCCAGGAATGAATTGCTATTATCAAGAAATCAACCAACAACAAATGCTGGAGGGGCTGTGGGGAAAAAGGAACCCTTGTCTTCTATTGGTGGGAGTGTAGACTTGTGCAAGTGTTGTGGAAATCAGTGTGGAGACTCCTCAAAAAAGGGGGATTAGAAGCCCCATTTGACCCATTCACCTGCTGGGTTTCTTACGAGAAGAATTAAAAACATCGGACCACAGAGATATATGTGCACCCATATTTATAGGAGCACAACTTGTATAGCCATATCTTGGAAACAACCCAAATGTCCACACCAACTGAAGAATGCATAAACAAAGATGTGGTGATTTTATACAATGGTGTACAATTCAGTCTTAAAGAAGGATAAACTTGAGACTTTTATAGGTAATGGATGCAACTCATGACCATATTTAAAAGTGTAGTAAATCAGACTCACATGTGTAAACATCGTACTGTCTTCCTAGTATGAGGAGCTGAAAGTGCAAATGTACAATAGATACTGTGAAAGGGGAAGAAACTGTTCAAAAGGAATGAGAAACTAAGATGTGGGGAAGGAGAAAAGAAGGAAGGGAAAAGCAAAAAACAAACAAAACACCAAAATCAGAAACATCCCCCCAAACACACACATACATATGTACAAGTTAAACTATTAATTTCTCTTAATTCATTGAAAAGAAAGGTTTATACTGATTGTTCAAATAATTAAATGCTTAGATCTTATACTTGAGTATCTAATTTAAGGATAACAATGCAATGTATTAATCACTGTTACAGTACTATTATCTTATTTTGAAATTTTGTCTTTTCTGTTTAAAATACAATTTAAAAAGTTTTATGTGCAGTTTTCTTGATAACATAGTAACTGACTCAGAAAGCTTTGCTGCTTTGGTCTAGTGTTCAATTGAAAAGCACAGTCTGATTTTAAGCAGGACTGGAAAGTTTGGTATAAACACGAGGAGACTAGATGTTGTTTAACTTTGATGACTTCATTTTATCTCCTTTGTGTCTTACACTATTTCCTTAAGCCAAATTTACATATGCATGTGTGCGTGTGTATGTGTACTCACATATATATAATCTTGGTATCTCAAGAAAGGGTGATAACTGAGCAGAGTGGTTTTGGAGCTTCTAAATAGTTCCCTGTGTAATACCCTCCAGGAACTCTGTCCCTGGTCAGTCACAGGAAGAGGTCCTGACAGTAGTGAAGGAGACCTGAAAGCTTCATGTCTGTTAGACCTGACAGGAATTGGCTGGATGTTTTTCAAGGTGGCTTTCGCGACACAGAATAAAAAGCCAAATCAAGAAAAGTAGGGCCCAATGAACTTAACCCAGAGGACTAAATCCTGTGTTATCCACGATGACTGGTCACTCACTCCCTTATTGTGTGACTTATAGTCAAATAAATTTCACTCAGTAGTACAGATGAAAGACCTTGGGTATCATGTAGAGAATATAAAAATCAATTACAATAATAAGAGGCCCCATGGCAGGCAAACCAGCTGCTATGAGTTTCCTCTCAAGTATTTCCCTTTCTGCTGCTCTGAATGCTGATAAATCTGCATTCCCTCCTCCCTACGTGTCCACCTCCACTGTCATGGCCACAGCCAGGCACACAGTGCCATCACACTGTCCACACAACTGTGAGCATGGGCTTGCTATGACACCTAACTGGAGGAGCCGGAGCATCCCTATGACAGCCACATGCTTCTTGTCATCCCAGAGAAGGAGGCTTCTTCTACGTGTAAATGTTATTTTGGGAGAGACTGAAATGTTAAACCCTGCTGTTGAGCATTAGTTAGTTATTCTGCACAATGTTGCTGGAAGGAAGGAAAGCCCTGGTATCCAGGATTTTAAAAAACTGTGGTAAAAATGTGAATAACATAAAGTTTGTCAGTGTAGGTCATTTTTAAATACAGAGTTGATGGCATTAAGAACATTCACATTGTTGTGTAGTCATCACTACCAGAACTTTTTCATCTTTCTTGATCAAGCTCTATATCCATTATATAGTAATTTCTCAATCCTCTCTCCCTCCAGCACTTACCATCTGACAGTCTTAACCATCTGACAACTCTCAGTACACAGTACCTTGTGTAAATGGAATCAGTTAATCCTTCTGCAACTGGTTTATTTTATGTAGCATTTTTAATATTGAGTCTCATTTTTGGTAATATGTATCTGAATTTTACATCTTTTAAAGGTTTAATAATATTTGACTGTATGCATATGTCACGTTTTTGTTTATCTGTTGATGTGATGATAATATACTTGGGCTGCTCCTGCCTTTTGGCTATAGGATGATCTGAATAATGTTGCTATGAATATGGATGTAAAAACATAAATCCATACTTACACTCGAGTATATACTCAGAAGTGGAATTGTTGGATCACATGGTAATTATGTTCAGTTTTTTGAGGGATCACCATGCTGCTTGGTATTCAGTATTTTTAAACTATTTTTAAGAGCAGTTTAAGGTTCACAGTAAAACTAAGCAGAAAGTGAAAAAGGTTTTCATGTACTCCCTAATAGTACTCAAGGAGACACTCTAGGCTACTATAGTGGTGGATCTACAGCACGCATGCTGCAGCGGGCTGTCTGTTATCACCAAAAGGTTTGCCATCATTGTCTAGGTCTTTGGTGATCAAGTTTTCTCTTCAAGGGCATAGGGGTGATATAGTCTCGTCAGAAACTGAAGCTTGATTCCCCTGAGTAGTCACAGAAACCTCCTTTCAACCCTGACCTGTAGACATGAAACCAACTGAGAGCACAGGTGATTCTGTAAGAAAGCTTGATGTGTAAACATGGAGACTCACAGATTTCAAAGCATGAGGGAGCAAACATAAGGACTGTTCCATCTGAGCCCTTTCTTTCACTTCATGAGGATGTGGCATAAACCAATAACTTTCCTCCCAACAATGCTGTGCAGATAGTGCCTGACAGAGATGTTAAAAGTTTGTAGGGTGGAGTAGTAATAGATAATCACATCACTGGCATCTCTGTCAGCCCTAATACCAGCCCAGTTCTTCTTTGGGCAGCTCTAGAAGACATCACTGGATTAATTTCATTATAAAACACTCATCACTTAGAACTTTTTCTCTTGTTTTTCTGCCTTGTAAGTTTTATTTTAAACACATGCATTTAAAATTTATTTTCAGGTTTTTGGTTCTATGAATGTCTAGGCGATGGCTATGGTTCTTCTTTACATAGTTGCTTGGCAACTGCTTTATTAGCAACGATTATTATTATATTCAAGTAAAATATACAAAATTACAGTGCTGTTTTCACAGATTTAAAATGTCCAGCAATTTCTCAGACATTCCTGGACAGTATTACACCATTTTTACTCATCCTGATTCAATAAAACCAAAGAAAGTGTTTGAAACTCCTACAATGAAAACTCTCAGGTATATGTATATATCTGTATGTGTGTACACATGTACCCAGGTATGCATTTGTTTACCTAAACTCTTCTACTTTTTTCTATTAATGTGGAGTAAGTCGCTCTTGTCTTTGGAAGAAAGGCAACTGGCTATGTGAAAGCTAACACGATATACCCCAGTCCTCAAAATACATCCCCCAAAACTCTGGACTTGATGATTTGGATCCTTGTTGGAGGTGTGCCTCCTATCACACGTGTTTTGTATCAAGTCACAGTTCAGCATATGAGGGAGGGACAGTTCTATGATAACTCACTTTGAATGGGAGCAACATATTTCCCAACCCAGGGGCAAAAAAAGATTTTCTTTCTTGAGTGTATCTGAATACATGCTAAGCACACCTGTAGAAGAACTGTGACCGTTATTTTTAAGGTTAATAACAACACTATTAGTCACACCTTCTGCAAACCAGGGGCAAAGAATGACTGGGTAGCAGTAGGTAAGCTGACATGGAACAGTGGCGTTTCTCTCTACTGTGAAACCTGAAGGTCCTGAGCAGAATTTAATTTTCTCTTTCCTGAGATGTGTAAAGCATGAAATCTCTTAATTTAATGGTATTTAATACTGAAGTACACAGTTTTTACCTTTACCATTCAGCCTTCCCATCACACAGAAGGCAGCTGTTCTCAAAGTGAGGAGCCCTGGAAACTATACAGGCATCACTTGGCAACTTGTTAGCAAAGCAAATTTCTGGCCCACACCATCCTGATCCACTGAATCAGAAACTCTAAGTGTAAGGCTCAGCAATCTGTACCTTACTGAGCTTGCCAGGTGATTCTGATGCAAGCTAAAGTTAAGAATCAATGAGTTAGGGAACTGCCAATATGCAGATTCTAATCCTCGCTCTCCTTAGCTCAACTGTAACTCTCAAGATACTCTATTAAAAGTAATTAGTGTGAATGTAGGCTATTTGTTACTATCACCTAAGAAAATATTTGTCACTGTTTCATTAAGGAAAAGAAACCCTACACAAAACTTACATATAATTTTTCCAGGTCCTGTCCTGGCTTCGAGTCTTAGGATGCGGGGAACTGGGCGAAGGGAGAGATGAGAAGCCTACAGCAATCCATTCAGACATGGACCCCAAAGTTTTGCAGGGCAATCTTGTGGTAAGTCAGTAACTGTCCACCTATTTGGAGAGGAAAAGTTGTCCATTAACAGAATAAACTTCGCATGTGAATACCCCTCCCCATCAATACCCTGTTTCATTCTTTATGAGCTCTCTATTAATTCTGTATCTCTTGACCAACACACATAAATACAGTATGACAAAACAGCCCAAGATATTAATGCCTGGCTCCACCCAGGTGGAAGCCCTATTCTGAGGTATTTCTTTAGGGAAGCTCCCAGAAAGAGCTAGGAAACAGGTCAGTATCCAGTTATCTACTTCTCAATTCATCTCACGAATTCTGTCACATTTAAGAGACACGTGGCTGTTGTAACTAGGAGAAACTCTGGGAAAAAAATGATTAGTTTGTGAATTTGGACTGAAATGAAGTGATTCTTAGATGCCTCAAATGTGTTTAAAATTAGTAACTTTTTTCCTGCTTGTGAGTGAACACATGGTTATCATAAAGCATGCAGAAAAGACAAAACAGCACAATGAAAGAGAAATAGTAGGCTGACGTTCATAAATCACTAACAAAGTGGCTCATAACCCCTTCACTGGAACTCCCGCACGCGAGAAATCTCAGAATTCAGGCTTTTTTGGATTTTAGAGAATAGCATATAAAATTATTTCTTATCACTCTAAGACAATCTGGAATAGCAACCGTATGCAAACACACTAAATATTTCTGGGTAAAATCTGAGGCTTGCACCGAGTGTGGCAAATCAGAGCCATTTATAAATTCAGGTCAGGTTTTTGTTTTTCTTTTTCTTTTTTTCCCCCTCTAGTTTTTGCGGTGCTGAGGATGGAACCTAGGACCTCACCCAAATTCTACCAGACCAGGTCTTCCCACCAAGGAAATTACAAAAATAAAATAAACCCCCAAACAATTTGGATTTAGAATTGGAGGTAAGGGATTGTGGGCTGGTATTCTTTCCAGACATGCAGACATTTGCAGAGTTTTGTCCCTACTTTTTTATTTAATTCTGAAGTAAAACGAGAGTTATCTGAATGTGAATATTTCTCCAAGTTATTCAAATTATTCAGAAAATGATTATAATGTCTATATATTCCTGAACTCCACAGAAATACATTTTATTTCATGAGTTTCTACAGTTTTGGAATTATAGAAATTTTTGGTACTGCAAATAAACAATTTGAGAAATGTATGTGGTTATCGGAGTCAGAATTTCTTAACACTTTTTTTTTCTCTCTTTGGAACTGGGGATCACCCTCAGGACCTCATGCTTGCCAGGCAGGTGCTGTGTCTCTGAGCTATACCACAGGTCATGAATACTTTCTTAGATGAGAAAAAGAATCACGGAGCCAAATGGTGTGAACTCATAAGTATTTGGATAACTTCCCAGAGAGCCTCAGCAGCTCACGATCTTTTCAACAGCAGGCGGGCCGCGGTGATTTGCTAATTACCAGCTTTATGGTAGGAGCAGAAAAATACACCTGCAACTCACACATCTTACAAAGTTCTAATTTAGTGATGACCAACAGGATATAAAGTAGAATATTTTATTTTTACTTTTCCTTACATGGAAAATAGTAGCTCGCTGTATGTTTCTATAAGAGAAATGGGATTAACGTAATCAAAAGGTCCTCATGAGGTCAGGCTGAGTCAGACGTGGACCATGGGACCACTGCTACCCATCCACAGAGTCTTCATGTGGAAGTGCTTGACAGTTTGGAAATAATTCACATGTTATCTGCGGGCTGAGATACTGAGGCCTCGTGCTCTCTTCCTTTCGGTGTTTTCTTTTTCTCTAGAGGTTTTTGCTGTTTCTCAGCACGGTGTCAGAGAGCAAAAAGAGATGTAAAAACAAAAATCAACTCAAACAGACTATTAATGCTGGCTAGTTGTTCATACACTGTGGCGTGGTTTCTGACGCCATGTGGCTCCCACGCATTATCTCGTGCAAGGCTGCATGCACCGGTATAAAACCTGGTCGCTGGCAGAGTGTGTGTGTACTCACTCATCAGTCCTCTCTACTACTTGGAGGAATGTGAGCTTTGGAAGAGCACAGATCTATCTGAGCCTAGTAACTCATCACCAAGACAACTCCAAGCCCAGGTATAAACCACAAGCTTTACCTTTACACCCATTTGTCAGCACCATCTATAGTCTCTATCTGAAGCAGGGACAGGAGTGTGAAGACCATGACAGTAAACCCTTTGAAGGTCCTATACGGTGGGCAGGAAGAAGGCTGTATTTCTTAGAGCACAATAAAGAGGTAACTTTGATGTACAAATCAGGGCATACATGGAAGACAATATGAAGGCATATATACAATATACACTGTAAAAAGCAAACATGTAATATATTTTCCCAAATGTGACTACAAATTAGGATTTCCAGGGAAGGGCTTCCATATCCAAGTTCTATTGATGACTTTTTCTAATAATTTTTCTTTCTTTTTCCCTCTATATGAATTTAACATTATGGGATAATTGGTTTAGAGACTTTCCTGATTTTCATATACTAATAAAAGGATACTGAAAAAGATATTTCTGTGTTATTGGAATGAAATAACTTGATTCCATAAATCTATAAATTCAGTTTCTACAACCAGTAGGTACTATAAAATGGCTAAAATTTGGAGAGAAGGGAGTCAAACAAATTTTCTAAAATTTTATGAGTAAAATTGACCTTTCAAAAAAATCTCACCTAAAAGTAGAAGTTGTTTCTATTAAAATGATCAAAAGACAAAACCTACATCAAGAAGTGGATCATTTCTTTCAATGTGGCTTTTCTTTATAATTTAACTAGCATTTGCCTGATAATTAGGTGTCAAAGTGGGTAGAATGGACTATATATGGCCTTCTTTTGCTACAGTCAGTTACATGGTTAATTTTCTAAGCACACCAGGAATACCGGGTGTGAAAAATAAAGTGGTAATAGAGGAAATGATCCCTCAAAGAGCATACTTTGTGTTTTTCAAAGGGTCTAATTGCCTAGGGGAAAATACAAAAAGCAAATCACCACTAATAACAGAAACGCTTACCAGAAGCTCTTTAGATACTTAAACTGTACAACTAGCATTTGTAAAGCTAATTACAAATTTGGATTCTCTCATTTTAAAAATATACTTCAAAGCATCCCACTTCTGTTTCAATGCTGAACCAAAGTCTGTGCAACTGGCACATAATCAAAGTAAAAAAAAAATAATAAAATACATCACTTGAATAAAGTTATTATTTTTGATGTTGCTAAATCCTGAACTGCAAAATGCCACAGGCTAAAAACTAGTAATACCACATGGTTATATTACCTTACATTTTTAAGAATTCATAGTTTTTCTAAATTCTTCTAAGAGTGTAGATCTCTTAGTTACCCTAGGTTCGTTATGTTGGACAGGCCACTCATTGCCTCTCAGCCTGACCCCTCCCATGGGTACTTCTACAGATTAAACAAGAATATGAACAAAAGTGGGATTTTTTTTGCATATTTTAAGACATATATAAAATGTTGGATATCTTTTTTTTTTTTTTTAAACAAACAACGTTGTGAAGCATCAAAGTATTAATCCTCACTTCACAGTTAAGGAAAGCGACACAGGAAGATTTGCAAAAAAGAAGTACCAAGTTAGGAGTTTTACTTCTGCACTGGCCACAAACAACGTGAATGATCAGCTTGGGACTTGATTTCTTTGGTAAAATGAGGGCATGGGATGAGATGATTTTAAGGTTTTCTTGACACAATGGCTCTGTAATTTGGGACTTAGACATAGCAATGATGGGGAAATTTTTGGACAGCACCTTAGAAAGTATCTTTCTTGAAGGTCCGTGATGCCAAAGGCACCATCTGCCACGTGGAGGCCTGCAGGGCTGGGCTATCATTTTTGAATAGCCTGCTTCCTCTGGAGAGGGGGCAGATATTAGGTCAATCATTTTGCTGTACTGAGGAGATGTTGGGGGGATCCTAGAGGATAAGCAAAGCCTCCTGAGGCATAAGAAGGTATGTGAAGAGGTTAAAACAGCAGGTCTTCATTAACCAGTAGAGATATTTTACTACTTTCACAACTATTGTAGCCAAAGAAATGTATACCAACTGGATGTCAGTGTTGTTAACAGTATCACTGTTGGCAGTCACTCTCAAAGAGACAGCCACTTCTATGGGCCACCCACCTTTCTTGGCTGAGTTCCCAGTATGAAATGAGTTGTGTAAAAGGGTTTTTTATGTTGGGGGCACATGATAGCCACATGGGAATTTCACTCTAAAAACACTGGGGCCACAAACTTAGACCTCTGTGATACTACATCAGCACTAATATAACTTTATGTGATGACAGAAAAGTTCAGCATTTGCACTGTCCAACATAGTAGTCACTAACGCCTCAGGTGGTATTGAGCACTTGAAATAATATCTTGTAACTTTAATCTATTTAAATTAACTTAAATGTAAATGTTAGCCAAAGATTGAGTTATAAGAATAAAAGAATGCAGTCAACCTTATATGTATAAGAAGTACCTTCTGAAAACCCGATCCTGTCCACATGTTGTAGTGGACAATGCGGCTATCACACATCCCTAAGCTAAACTTCTTAAAGGTATTTCAGACCCCAGAAAACAACAAATACTATATTCCTTTGATCAGTATCTACTGACCTCCTCCTAGGTTCTACATACTCTTTAGTTGTCCAAAACAATGGTGAATAAGAGAACCATAGATACTTCTTGCCCTAATGGCATTTTTCAGCTAGACTAATTTCCAGAGGCCTCACAAAATCTTGAAGTGGCTCACTAGACTGCTCTTAAGAAAAGGTGGGTGAGGAGATATGGTAATGCTATACTAAGCATGAAAGCACTGCTTTTTCATTTCTTCATATTTACTGTTAGAGAAGCTGGGGGAAAGTCTAAAGAGCGATATCTGAATGGTTACCAGGCATTCACTTTCAAGTAAAACACCATATCCCAGATATGGGAAATTATCTGTATGTAATTTCCTCTTACATAATCTTGAATTTACTTAAGAGAAAAAGTCAGTGGGACCTGCATTATTGAGCTAAGAAAAA